TTTTATTACATAATATCATTTACTCGTGTTCTGCTTTATCATGTGCTTTTTAATTTCTTAGCCTTTTTGCTTCTTTTTTCTTTAGCAACAGCTGTTTCAGTGTCCTTTATTGTAAAACCTCATTTCTCACCCTCAGACACTGTTATCGGGAGTTTAAATGGGAACAAACTTAACTTTGCAAACATTGGAAACAATCCAGATGTTCCTAAAGTTGTTGGTGTGGTGCTGCATTTAGTGACATGGAAAGATAGTCATGATCTATTAAATGGGCTGTTTCTACATTTCACTATAAAAAAAGGAAGGAAAACTATGAAAGCATTAAACCTAAGATTTACTAGCTTATCTTAGGGTAAGATTTATTGCTGATAATTTTAATTTAGGTGAACTTTTTATTGAAATGTAACATGTGCAGAAATAGGTATACAGCTTATCGAATTTTAACAAAGTGGAGATATCCTTGTAATCAGCCCCCAGATCAAGAAAATCAGGCCGGGTGCGGTGGCTCGCGCCTGTAATCCTAGCACTCTGGGAGGCTGAGGCAGGTGGATTGCTCAGGAGTTCCAGACCAGCCTGAGCAAGAGCGAGACCCCGTCTCTACTAAAAAATAGAAAGAAATGATCTGGACAACTAAAAAAATATATATATATATAAATTAGCTGGGCATGGTAGCACATGCCTGTAGTCCCAGCTACTTGGGAGGCTGAGGCAGAAGGATCGCTTGAGCCCAGGAGTCTGAGGTTGCTGTGAGCTAGGCTGACGCCATGGCATTCTATCCTGGGCAACAGAGCAAGACTCTTGTCTCATTAAAAAAAAAAAAAAAAGAAATCAAACATCATAGGAACCTCAGAAGCCCTTTCTCACACCCAGGTAGTCACTCTCCACCTCCATGAAGTGTGACGACTCCCAACAATGTGGCTTGGAGTTGTTGTCTTTGAACTTCACGTAAATGCGACCAGACAGAATAGCCTCTCTAGTCTCTGGCTGCTTTTGCTCCTCTTGCAACACTCGTCCACGTCGTGTGAAGCAGTAGTTGATTTGTCGTCATTGTGTTCTGTTGTAGGAATACACCACAGTGTAGCTGTTTATTCTACTGTCAGTGGATGTTTGGGTTGTTTTCAGTTTGGGGCTATTACAAAGAATACTGCTGTGAATATTTCAGTATGTGTCTTTCAGTGAACATTTATGTGCATTTCTCCTGGTTATATACCCAGGAGTGGAATTTTTGGGTGGTAGGGCATGTGTTTGCTCAGCTTTCATAGACACTGCCAGACAGTTCCCTATAGTGGCTGTGCCATTTAGTTATTCCCACCTTGTTGGTGTCTGGAAGTTCCAGTTGCCTCGTCTCATTGCCCAAGTATGTGAGCATTCATTCAAAGCCATTGTGGGGGCTGAGTAGTATTCTCTCCTGGTTTTAATTTCTGTTTCTCTAATGTAGATTTAGCCCGTTTTGTGTTTTTTTATTTTTTTGGTCATATGAATAAATATTTTGTGAAGTTCTGTTCCAGTCTTTTGCCTGTTGTTCTGTTAGGTTGCGTCTGTCTGTCTCTCTCTTTTTCTGTTGCAGAAATTTGCAGGAGTTCTTTCTAGTCTGATTGCGTGTTATTTTTCATATATATGTTTCAGATTTTTAGTGATTTTTACTTGAATATTTTCTCTCTGTTGTCTAAAATTTTAGCAGAGCATGTATTTAATTTTTATCATAAGAAAAAAGATAAAACTGTTACTTTGAAAAAATAAATGCCCCTGTCTTGTTCTGTTTTACTTCTCTTTGCCGTTACCTTCGGTTTCTTGCTTTTTGAACGTGCTCTGAAGTCCGGCTCTGCATTCCCTCTCCAGCAGCTCCTCCTTTAACCTCCCAATTTCGGTAAAAAGTGGCTCTCAGTTGATAAATTTAGTGGTGCCCAGGGTCCCTTCTCCCAGTCTTTCCATTGATACCACTTGCAGCACCCAGTCTGTGCAGGCTTTCTCACTTGACTTCTGGTGACATCGAACCTCTCTGGTCGCTCCCAACCCGTCTTCCTCCTCCATTTGCTTTGCCTGCTTGTCTTAGCCCTGGAGTTGGCCTGTCCCCTGGATGTCTTTGGAGCTCTTTTCCCCATGGTGCCCTCGGTTAGCTTTCTGAAGTTGTAGGCAGTTTCAGCCACGTGCTAGAGGTCACATTTTCTGGAGAACATTTCTAGCCTTGGTCTCTGAAGCCTCCTGTATTCTCCCTGCTGGATACCAGCCCCCTGAAAATCATCTCCACTGTCATTTTCCTCCTCATACCAGCTTTGCCTTTGGCGCTGCCGTCTGCCAGTGGAACTGGTGGAACTACCAGACAACCCAGACGTGGAACTCTGGTCGTCTCTGCCTTCCTCTTCCTCATCCACTGCCAGTCTGCTGCTAGATCCTGTCAGTTCTACTTTTTTCCATCATAGCTCTTACATGATAATAGCAACACAAACTACAACAGTAATAATAGCTAACAGTGGTCGAGTGCCTGTTTGTGCCAGCCACTGAGGCTAAGTGCAGTGCTTTAATTTCATACTGGCCTTTTGAGATGTTGTTATCTTCATTTTACAGGTGAGGAAACTGAGGCACAGAGAGGTTAGTAGGTAACTTGCTCAGAGCCACTCAGCTATCAGTTGGAAGCAGTGGCTCTGACTCTAGGCTATAAGGATGGTCTCCAGTTTTCGACTATACGATGGGTTTATTGGGATGTAGCCTCATCATAGGTGAGGAGCATCTGTACTTCTGTGGTCTGCTTCTTTATTTGTAGTTCTACCATCTCCCCCTTCCTTCCTATCACTTTGTTCCCAAATAGCATTTCCCTCCTAACTCGGTCTCCCCATTCTAATCCATCCTTCAAAAAATGTCAGGTTTACCTTCCCCAAATTTAACTCTATTCGTATCCCTTTTTTGCTTTTACTTTTAGTGACTAATTTAGAAGCCAACAGTAGAGACAAATTCTTCAAATTGGCCTATTTGTTTGTTTGTTTTTGTTTTTTTTTTTTGAGACAGAGTCTTGCTTTGTTGTCCTGAGTAGGGTACAGTGATGTCAGAGTAGCTTACTGCAATCTCAGACTCCTGGGCTCAAGCCATCCTCCTGCCTCAGCCTCCCGAGTATCTGGGACTACAGGTGCGCACCCAGACGCCTGGCTGATTTTTCTATTTTTAGTAGAGACAGGGTCTCGCTCTTGCTCAGGCTGGTCTTGAACTCCTGACCTCAAGCAATCCTCCTGCCTTGGCCTCCCAGAGTGCTAGGATTACAGGCCACCCAAATTGACCTTTTCAGACCAAAGTTGGCCTCAGGCTGCCACTTGAGGTGCTGTCTCTGCTTAGGGGCTGTGCTTGTTGTCTTGCTGTTTGCCGCATCTGGAATGTGACCCCGCCCCTCAGTTGGCCTTTCCCTGGACCCTTCCCCAGGCCCAAGTGAGACCCTTCCTGAGCTTCTGGGCCAGCTCTGTGTGAACCTCCGAAGCAATTGCTAACCTTCCTTTCTGTTATGGTAAACCTAGCACCCAATTCTCATAAGTCATGTCTTTGACACCCCTGAAAACTCTAGCATAATCCTCAATAACAAGCATCTTATTGATTTATTTGATAATTTTCCAATCAAGAACACAATAAAGGGAATTCGAATACATCGTTAATAAGAGTCACAGATAATTAATTCCAAAGTTTAAGGGGTAAAAGGAATGTGTTAGTGTCCCAGGGCTGCTGTAAGCAAGTACTATGAACTGAGTAGCTTAAAACAACAGAAATTCATTCTGTCACTATTCTAGAGGCTGGAAAGTGTGAGATGCAGATGTTGCAAGGGCCATGCTCACTCCGAAGGCTGTAGGCAGCTTCCGGTGGTTCCGGGCACTCCTAAGCATCCCGTGACTTGTAGGCTCTTTGCTCCCATCTCTGCCTCTGCTGTCACATGACTCTCCCCTGTGTCTGTCTTCACGCGCCTGTCTTCCCTCTGTGTCTTTTTCTTATAAGGACACCAGTCATATTGGATGAAGGGACGGACCCCACCCTACTTCACAGTGATCTCATTTAACTGACATCTGCAACAGCTTTATTTCCAAATAAGGTCATGGATTAAGAGTGCCTTTTTATTCTGAAGTTTTGACATCTGGGGCCTCACTGACCTGGGGACACTGCCCCTCCCAGCGCTAGTCAGTTCCTGGAGATACTAAACCCCAGGAGGCTTTTCATATGCGAACTGTCCGGTCCTCTGCATGCACCTGCACTCCTGCTCTTGTCACCCCAGGCCCAGGTAGCAGCCAACTGGGGACAGCCTCTGTGCCCCAGAGCCCACCAAAACCATTACCTTAGCCGCTAAGCCTGCCAGCCCTGCCCCATTCTTTCTGGGGAAACCACATTAAAGACTCTTGCCACATTCCACCCTGTCTTCCTCTGCCTTTTCACTGACCCTGGTGCATCCCCGCGTGGCCTGTGTGGCATGCCACGCCATCTGTTTCCAGGGCTCTGTGCGTAAAACTTTGCCCCGTATGGCGGTCCTCGCCATATCTTGCCATACCTGATTAGATTCCAAGTGCAGCTAGAAGCAGTCGTTCTGAGGATCTAAGGATCGGAACTTCAACATATCTTTTTGGGGGATGCAATTCAACCCTTAACAGGGAATAGCCTATTTGCTGATGTTTTACTTGCATTCCGTTGTGGGGCGGTGACCCCGTGACTGGACTCCATCAGGTGGATGACAGGCAGGCTTGAAGCGCAGTGTGCTGGAGGAGAAGCCGCGGCAGCTATCTGTTCTTCAACCCAGGGAAAGGCACTCACTGCAGCTGCACTGAAATTACCTCATATGGGAGGCGTTAGAAGATTAATGATAGGGAGAAAGATTTCTTTTTCCTTTTAAAGGTGGCAAAATATGTTTAAATTCTCTGTGTTTGACAATCTTGAAGATGAGCTGTTGACATTGTTGATTTTGAGAAATATTATAGATTCGATTCTGAGCATTTTACTAACTACTTTTTTTCTTTCTTCTTTTTTTTTTTTTTTTCTTAAAGAAAGCGGCAGCCCAGAATCTCGTGTTAATGCTATCCATTTCTTGGTACACAAGCTGCCAGAGAAAAATAAAGAAATGTTGGATATTTTGGTGAAACACTTAACAAAGTAAGCCTCTCTTTCTTCCTTTTAACTTTCTTTGCTTCACTCTGGGTGCCGTGCAGCGTTCTGGACTTGGAACGGTTGGAACAGGGGCTGCATACACAATACCAGGGACCACACCTGGAAGGGCAAGCTGGGCGTTTGACTCATCGTGTGTGTTTTGGACAAGACGTTGAAATACGATGCTCTCATGAAGTTGTATAATTATTTGCCTAACAGCACTGCCAGCAACTCAGGATTTGATTTGAAGGAAAGAAGAGAATATTATACATTGCCCCATACTCAGATTCTGGAAATGGGATTCTAAGCTTGTTAGCAAATTTAACTTGGCTTCACACCTATCTGACTCTAAGTTTGAGCATGCCCTTAAGTTGGCTTAATTCAGCAATGGGTAGTTATTTCACAGACTCCATTCTCTTTTCCTCCTCCTCTTAAAAGCAAGCAAAATTGAATAATTCAGCGGAGAGATTAGCTTTCTTCAAATATAAATGGCTCACAGATCATTATAATTTTTGAGGTGAGAGGAACCTGAGGAACACTATGTTTTAGAACCTTTCTTTTACATGAAGAGTGAACGTCAAAGGATATTGTGATTTGCTAACAGTCCTACTACTTGTATAGTCATTCATTCATTTGGTCAACAAATGTTTAGTGAATGCCTTTTTTAGGTGCTCGTGAGTAGATAGTTGAACAAGACAGTCAAAAATCCCTACTTCCATGAAGCTTACTTTCTTGGGGGAAAAAGATGATAAACAGATTATAAATAAAAATACAAAATGGTTTCAGATGATAAGTGGCAAAAATGCAAGTAAGGAGTAAGGAGATGGAGAATGTATGTTGAGTGTGAGACTATAAAGAAGATTATTATGGAAGATCTCTTTGAGGATGAAATCTTTGAGTTGAGCACTGCATAAATGACAAGGCTACTGGGAACAGTTGTCCAGGTTGTTCACTGCACAATGGTACTGGGCTGAAGGACTGAGTGTGGGTGCTCTGCATACTTGGGAAGCTGTTTTTTACAAAGGTGCCATGGGATCTGGTAGTTCCTAGAACCAAGGATATAATGATCTGGTGGAAGAGGGGGTGTGTTTTGATTAGAGGGGAACAGTAAATGAAGGCTTTTGAGGGAAACAAGCTTAGCATGTAAAGTAGGCACTCTGCATCTGCGGACTCCGTAACTGTGGATTCTGCATCCACGGGTTCAGCAAGCCACTGATTGAAAATACAGTATTCACAGGGTGCATGTGGGTGTGGAGGGTGACTTTTTCTACCTGCAGGTTCCACAGAGCAAATTGTAGGACTTTAGCATCTGTGTCTTTTGGTATCCACGAGGGTGCTGGAACCAGTCCCCCGTGTTCTACCAAGGGAAGACTGTACATGGAACTAGTAAGAAAGCCATTGCGGCCAGAGTAGAGCATGAGAGAGAGAGAAGTAGAAGAGGAGGCAGGGGCCTCAGTGCGTGGGTCTTGTTAGAGCCACTTATTTCAGAGGCTGATGTTGAGGACAGTTTGAGTCTCTTGACTCCCTGTTTTTAAGGACATAGAGTTGCAGAATATTGTACATTCCACAATTTTTGCCCCTTTGGTTAAACAGAGACTTTTCCCCCCTCATCAATTCTAGTGTTTCAAATCACTCCAAGCAGAACCTAATGACGGTGGCAAATTTAGGAGTGGTGTTTGGACCGACTCTAATGAGGCCACAGGAAGAAACGGTTGCTGCCATCATGGATTTGAAGTTTCAGAATATTGTCGTGGAAATCTTAATTGAAAACCATGAAAAGGTAATAAAATTTTTTTTTTCCTTAAGAGACTTCCCAGCTGTGGCTTGTCACCATGTAATGAATAACTATCCTCTTAGATTTCCCTTTTCTTTCTTTCTTTTTTTTTTTTTAAATGATTTTATTATCACTATGACGAGCTTGGTTCTAAGAAGTTCTTATTGAGCTTCTGTCTTTTGATGGTGCTCTGTAAATCTGAACCTTACCCAGTCTTCTGTTATTCACTGGCTTAATAAAGAAACATTTAATCCAGATGCAAATGAATATGGGCAAGGTAATTGTGAACTGTTTAGATTTTTTGTTGCTTTCATTCCTATCCTTGGATTTGTCACTCAAATTCTGTGTGTCACAGTGGTCCTGTAATCTTGATCAAGTTAGGGCTTTGCAACTTAAAAAAAGGAGAGAGAGAAAATAAGGCAAATAAAGAAAGTTGAAAGGAAGTGAGATGGAGCCAGAGGACCATGAGCATCATTGAGAGTGGGGTTGAGGGGCAGGGCTTCCCTGAGACCGCTGGCCAAGGCTGGCCTGGGTTTGCTCTGCACTTGTGAAGGTCGCCCTGCCTGGCAAAGGGTCTTCCTGGTTGCACCCAGCTGTCCTGAGTGGCAGGTCAATGAGGAGAAGCTGGAGTGGGGTAAACTCCTCAAATGGACCCAGGCTGCACCCCTGGGTCCGGGGTAGGAGTGAGGGACGCATTCCTGGGATTTGATGGATGGGGTTGAGATGGGTTTGAATTAGGAGATCCATCTCAGGGGTGAGCAGAAACTGCTTTAATATACTCTTCCTCCCACCACACCTAGTCAGCATTTTAAATTCTAGAAATAATTACTGTTCATTATCGTCCCTTCATGATCTCTTTCCCAAATTATTATTCTTTTCTCCTCAATTACATGTTCTCTGTGGCTGCTCTCACAATACGACAGCAGAGTTGAGTAGTTACAACAGAGACCAGGTAGCCTGCAAAGCAAAAATATGTAGCATCTGGTCCTTTATAGAAAAGGCTTGCTGATCCCTGTTTTGGACCAATAACTTTCAACCCTGGCAAACAAGAATCCTATGAGGGGCTCTTTTAAATGGCTCTGTAGCCACATGTATTCTGTTAAATTTTTGCCTTCATAAGAATTTATTTTTTTTTTTGAGACAGAGTCTCACTCTGTCACCTGGGTAGAGTACAGTCGCGTCATAGCTCACTGTGACCTCAAACTCCTGGGCTCAAGTGATCCTCCTGCCTCAGCCTCTCGAGTAGCTGGGACTACAGGTGCACACCACCAGGCCTGGCTAATTTTTTCTATTTTTAGTAGAAACAAGATCTTGCTCAAGCTGGTCTTGAACTCCTGACCTCAAGCAATCCTCCTGCCTCGGCCTCCCAGAGTGCTAGGATCACAGGTGTGAGCCACCGCACCCAGCCCCTGCCTTCATAAGAATTATAAGTAGCCAGCAAGGAGAATGGCTGATCTAGGGAGGAAGCATCTCTTCTGCCTCTATTAAGAACTTAAGAGAAAACTTCAAGGTGGAACACAGGAGAAGATTCTGTTAATATTTGAGAGGTTTTTGTTCATAGTAGTTAAGACCTAAGTGTGACTTTCGCTGGCATTAGGTCTGCGGCATGGCAGTTTGTATTTGGACTCAGAATTTGAGGGAGCTGGAACCTATTGAAACCATTTAGCTGGCCTACATTTATAAGTAGGGATGGGACAGCTTTTCGGGGACATGTGGAAAAAATGGTTTCAGGATGCTTCTGGAGTGCTTGGTTTAAAAGGACTATACTTGTGTGCCTGCGTTTCTCCCACTCTCTCAACTCCCTCAAAGATTGCACCTATTAAGAAAAATGAAGATGCTGACTCCGGGTTAAAAGTATACTTTTACTATTAACAAGGACATAACATGTTTATTATGTAGGGCAGTGTTGCTTAATCTTTTGGGGATCGCAGACCTCTGAGAAGCTGCCAAAAGTTACCAGCTTTCTCCCCAGATAAATGCACATGACTCCCCTCTGCCCCTGATGGTGCTAACGGTACCATTGGGTTCACGTGCATTTCCGAGTCTGTGCACTGCAGGTTAACAATCTCCGGTTTAAAATGAGTCATCTCTTAAGTGACTTGTCTTGTTACTTGTTTCTCTGTAATCGAGGGAATATATGATTTTTAAAAACTACATTAGACTCTTTCAACAAATTTTTTTCCCCCTCATTCTGTCACTTGTAGATCAATACCTTGCTAATAACTTTCCTCAAGTCTGCCTCGTAGAGAATTTGAAAACTGTTAAAACACTTGGTCACTCATTTGATTATTAAAAGGATTTTTAAGAATTGAGATTGCATTATATGCCAAGCATGTAGTAGGTGCTGGGTGTGCAGATGAACGTTACAGTCACCGTTGCAAACCAGGTCACGATCTGGGCATGGGGAACCCATGTTTGGGACTTGAATCCCATAATGATTATCCCAGTCTAACATACCATGTAACTTCCTTTTTTCCTTGTCTGTTTCTTCCTGCTAGATCCTTGAGGGCAGAGATTTTTCGTGCACTTACAATGATACCTGGTACATATTGGATGTTCAGTTAATGTTTATTAAATGAATTAATGAAGTCAGTACATTTTGAGGCGGTTGGAGGAGTGGGAAAGAGGCAGGCAAACAGAGGTGTAGTCCCTTTGAGCAAAGCATTGAAAGAGCATTTCCTGGGTCCTTGTTGCATTTGCTATTTGCTAGAGCAGTTCTAGCTTATGCTAATATTCGTTCTCATGGAAAAGTTAAGCTTGAAAGCCAGTTGGGGATTTTCTTTACCAGTATGGTAAAAGCAGCTTGTTTATGGGTGTAAGAAGTTTTTTTTGGAGCCAGTGGTGAATTTATGCCTCCTTTTATGGTCCTGTCTAACTGTCATTAAACCTCATTAGCGTGCACTAAGCTATCCAGACAGCTCCTGGAAAGATGGCTACTATTCATTTTTAGAAAGCGAAATAATTAGACTACAGGCCTTGAAACAATGTTATAGTAGCTCAACTATCATTTGATTAAATCCTAATTAGGGAACTTTTATGCAATTTATTTGTGAAAATACTGGCTGTGGGTCTCGCTCTTGCATAAAAGGATCTCCATTTCATGCTGCAGCTGCCTGTTTTCTTCCCTTATTTGAAGCTGGGAAGTTAAGTACAGGATTTTTCTGCTGGGAAGCAGATAGTGCTGCTTTCACCTTGTTAACAAATCTTACAGGAATTTCCAAGTAGCACTGGTGAGCCAGTTATAATAGTTACAGCGGATGAAAGCAGCCTCGCTCTCAGAGATACTGCGAAGCAGAGGGTTTTCAGTTTTCCTTCTCTTCCTTTCTGTGTCTAGATAGTGCTGTGAACACACGACTGACATTAATTAAAGCGCTGAGGCTGTCCATTGAGAAGGGAGGAGGTGAACACTGGGTTTCAGATTCTTCACTGTGCGCGGGTTGAGGTTTGGGAACAGAGGGCTGTGTGGTGGGGCTTGAGGGTGAGAGGGTGTCACTTGGGATTAGTTAACAGTTCCTATAACTTAATTTCCCCATTACCTCTCCTCCTCTCTCCAATTTCCTCCTCGTACACTCCCACTCCCAGCTCTTTGTTCCTGCTCAGTTGGACTTCACTGCAGAGTCCAGGCTCTGCTATGAGGAAGAATATTTCTGCTGACAAGGTGGTTGTGCAGAAAAACTTCACGTGGACGTGGGTATCTGCGTTAGCCACAGGTTTCCCTGACAGCCGACCCCCACATCCTCCCACCAAAGGCTCTTACCTTGACTCGAAAGTGGGGAGGGAGGATATAGACCCTCTTAGTAAATGTTTGAGGACAAGAAGAAAAGAGGGGCGGCAAGCATAGGAAAGGTTAAAAGGAATAGTCTGTGAGGAAGGACAAAATCACAATGATGGATGGCAGGACAAAAACGGAGGGGTGGGAGGCTGGAGAGGGAAGGAGAGGCCCGTTAGCGTTGCTGAAAGTGAATACGGCAGAGGGGAAGAATGACAAGTGAAGGAAGTCGTTTTCTTTTCCTCACTTGCTTACTTTTCCTCCCTGGGAATGTGAAGAGTGTTGTCTCTAGGAAAGTCACTACGGCGAAGAGGAAACGTCAACAAGTAATTGAAGCAAGATTGCTCTAGATGAATTTTGGAGTTAGACAAAGACCCTTAGATAATCTGCTTTGGAGATCACCATTTCTCCTAGCCTCTTTGCTATTATTATAAAATCCGTATGTACTTTATAGGAAACTTAACCCATATGTTTTGGCTTTATGTGCATATAATACGTTAAGATGTTGTTTTAAAAGAAGTATTCGTGGGCCAAAAATATTATCAAGGTCTTTCTTCCCTTGCAAATCAGAAAATTGTATTTCCCAGGTGGGTAAGGCTGCTGTGAACTTCCCAGGGATTTTCAAATTGGAGTTGTGCTTTAGAATTTGTGAGTTTTGCATAAGTTGTGTTCTTAACAAAGTGTACTTGTTATACATTAATTCAGCGCATTTTTTCTGAGCACCTGCTGCGAGTGAGACATGGTGGGGAAGGAAAGACAGTGCGTCCAGCAGGGGAAAGAAGAAATGTCCAAAAGTAGCCACAAGGCATGGCAGAGAGTAAGTGCCTTCAGAGAGCGAGCGCGCGTGTGTAAAGGCACAAGCGTGCAAAAGCAGCCGATACTTCAGAGGAGGGTTTGCGTCCAGCTGTGGGAAATCTGGAAAGTTTCCTGAGTAGGTGGTTTGAGTCAGTTTTAGACTGGAGTTTGAACAGGTGGAGCCGTTTTAAGAGGACATTTCAGGCATGGGAGATAATGTAATCAGAGAAACAGAGGAAGTGTGTGTTTCGGGAGCGCAGCTCTTGTTGGAACATGGGTGAATGGAATGAGATAGGATTGGAAAGCAATTCAGGCCAGGTGTGGGAGGTTAGAATGCTGCTTTAGAACTTTTGCATTTAATTTTATAGGTACAGGGAACACTCATGGTTTGCAAGTAAACTACTTCAAAAAGCTTAGCCTGACAGCAGGGTTTGCAGTAGAA